TTACGCCAACTTGTCAAGCTAAATGAATATTTGCTCGTTTTGCATGTACATACACATCTATTTGTACTCGACGCTGAATGAAATTGACATATATTCTGTATACTCTCATAGCTACGTGCATGGCTGCCATTGCAAATCCAGTTCAATCCAGTATGACCCTGGATAATACTACACAGTTGATACTACATATCTACTCCATGCATACTCCACTATACACACTCGTGTACTCACTGCAACCCAGTGAAACATTCAAGTTGTAATACTTACGTCACCTGGCATAGCGCCTCCATAGGACGCAGGTTTCTGTTAGGCGAACAAAAATAAAGAATCGGTAAAATTCATTGTTTTCACAAATGCATAAATGACGTCAACGGAATTATTGAAAATAACGTAGTGAAAGTGTTACGTAATCATAATAAATAATCACCGAAAGTTATTTGAGAACGTGGATAAACCTTACCGATAAAGTTCCCTCGTATATATGATTCATGAGAACATAGGGTGAGGGGTAATCACAATCGTTGATGTAAGGTGGCTGCTCTGTTGAACACACGCTGCCATAATGTTCTGTAATCTGTGAAGTATATATTGATCAAATCATTCAGCCGAGTTCAAGTTACGGAACATATGTGCAATAATTTAATGAAAGGGGAGGTCGGGTTTTACATATACTGAGCATGTCACTGGGTATGTGTGCAATGCATTATGGGAGAGGGAATCAGGTTTTGCCTCCACAGTACTCTGAATGTTACTGAGTATATATGCCATATATTATGAGAGTGAATTTTTTCAGTAAATTTAATGAAAATATATTAATTATACCTTGAGATTACAACACATATAAGGGTCAATATTAATATTACAATACATGACTTTCAAACCATGACACTAACCAACATGCCGAGATATAAAAATATTTGTACTCTTATTTATTGAAAAAGTCTGGGTTTAGAGCAACCAGGGACAGGTTAGTTGTACGCCCTTTTTTGTTCATTTTCTCCAAAGACCCATATTTTTAAAAATGGCGGCGAAAAGACATAATGGTCGCCGATATCTTGCTGAAAGCTGAAAGCGAGATTTTTTGTTTGTCTCTCATTCTCCCTTATCATATCGTGACTACTGTTCCACTGATCTATTAAACCATGAGGTTTGGAAAAGTATACTAGTTATACTTTCGAGATATGAACAATTCTCATAAGTTTGAGAGCAGCAAGGTGGTTAACTTTTACATTAATTTGCCAACTACTTTGTTGTTGACTCACCAAGAAGATGACCTACAATTTGAATATTATCCCTCACTCTGTCTCCATCAAATGCTAGTAATATCTAAAAAAAAAGAATTTTAAATAAGGTGATGGGGTTTTACATGCCTGATAATTATGCCAAATTGTTTTTAATTGCTCAAATCTGTTTTGGAAAAATCAAAGTGGTCATAGAATTAGTGTGTAAGTTTGCTTATTTGCTGCTCCGATACTTTTGAGACTTTTTGTGATAACAATATAGGTCAAAAATAAATAGACAGTGAATTTGATAAATATGTGGTAGATGTAAAATCACAGCAATAAACAAACCATGGCGTGACCAGCAGGGATACCATACTCTGTCATGACATTAGCCAATGGCATGTAGTGTTTACAATAATCTTCCAATGCCACTACCACGCCTGTAACATAAATCAAATACAATAGTAAAGTAATATTTGCGACAAATACCGTACTCGGTATGGCGAATTGTGTTTGCTTTGACACGTGGAAAATGTGTCATTCCAATACTTTTAACAAATCCATGTGAGCGCTTTTTACGTTTTGCCAAAAACTAATGTAGTTATTGTTCATTTTGCAGCGTGAAACTTTCCCGCCCGATTTTAGTATTGAAGTGCAGTTCCAGGATGTGTCATGGTTGCTGTTTACACGTGAAGTTTTTTTTAGTTACTGCCGTCAAATTAGTCGTGTGCCATTAGTAGCAATGTAGTCTTAATCACACTGTGTTTTCTGCCGTATATAGACGTAACGAATCCTACTTCACAATTACAAATAACAATATTCGAGAGAATGACGGATGAACGGATGATGAACGAACATTACCTCTGTGAACAGCAGTGTCTAATAAACCACTGAACAGCCATGTTTTGCCACTAGCGAAGTTAGTCGTTGCATCGATGTCTTCTTTTGTAGCACTGGTATCAGTGAAATCAATGAGGTCTTGTAAAACAATTTCCTCAGGATTACTCATACAGGCGTCTAAACCAGTTAAAACGCTACCCTGGGCACAATGGTAAGGTCCTGGAAACATCAATATTTATTATAATAGTAGTAGCACTTGGTAAGATCGACGAAGCACAGGCGGGATTCAGGAAGGGTTACTCAACGTTTGATAACATTTTTATTAATGCAGTCAATTATTAAAGTACATTACCAGAAAACGGGGACAATTTTATTGTGCGATCGTCGATTTTTCGAAGGCGTTTGACACTGTTGATAGACGAAGGTATATTCTGTTAAATGGGGGTATAAACGGGAAAATGTTAAAAATATTGTCCAGCATATATTTAAACGTGAAATCTTGTGTCCGCACACCAAATGGAAAAAAACCGAATATTTTCAAGTTGACTGTCCTGTAGGCGTTCGGCAACGCTGCATGCTAGGCCTTTTTTTATTTCCTTTTTCATAAACGAACTGTCCTTTGAATTGCAGCAACGCAATGATCATTTTTTTTTTTTTTTTTTTTGGTTTAACTATCTTTTATTCCATACAATAGAAATTCTTTACAGCACATGTCAACATACAACAAATGTCACAGCTAGTATAACCCATACAATAGACACTGAATACCCATTAACAATTGAAGTCTCCCCACTTGT